CTGACCCTGCTTATTAGCTAGCGCTCGCTAGCAGCAGCTACTCGGGTTGTTGTGAAACTAAACTTGTGCTTCTGAAATACCAACATATATAACTTCAAGATGCTAAAACACTGAGGCAAAAGGGACTTATTATTATGTAACAGGTACACGTTTATGAGCAATTAAATAAATTGTCAAGTCTTCATGTTTATATAAAGATCAGCACTTTTTGTTTGGTGCTACCTTCAACATTTTCCCTCGACCAGCTTAATTCAGGAGGATGAATCCTAACGATCAGCTCGTTCCTTAACCTCTCTGTCTGTGCTGACATCAGCACATAAATCCAGAGAATCTAATGAAGCTGATTGTTTCATATTAGGTGTAATGAACACTTAAGAGTCTGTGCACTACTGGAAAGTCGGTGGTGTTTGCTTCAAATATCACTAAGCAGTAACTGCCGTGTCTGGAAGATGAAACCACAGAGGAAGTGGCTCAAGATTGACTTCCTCTTATGAAACCGGAGCGGTGGATGCAGTAAAATTAAGACTAATGTGCGCTATGTGAGCACAAAAAAAAAAAAGAAGAAGAAACTCACTCTGATTGGCTGAGTGCTGAAGCGAATCTTTCTACTGGGTGGCGGAGGCTCCTCTTCCTCAGGAAGGCCTGGGATTTCTGAGCAGCTGGACTCTGGCTGATATGCCTCCTCCTCGTCTTCGTCTTCCTCATCGTCCAGCTGGCTTCCCCCAGAGTCCTCCTCCCCGAGCCCGCTGTACGCGCTGATATCTATCAGATCTCCCTCAGAATAATCTTCCTTCCTCGAACCATCCTCGTCATTCTCATCTTCTTTGGCCCTCTCCTCAGAGTCCTCTTCTTTCTCCTCCGATGAAGGAGAGGAAGATGGAGGCGCTTTCTCTCCATTTTCCAGCGAGGCATGAACCTCAGCTTGCACCAGCCTACCCGCGGCCTCAGATCCCTCAGTGGCGCCGTCCTGATCGCCAGACTGCGGCTGCAGCCCAGAGGCTTCCACTGTACTCGAACCCTTGGCCTCAGTTGCTGCCGGCTCTGGTTTGGCCTCCGATGAAGAGGAGATGGAAGTGACAGTCACTGAGGAAGAGGAGGAATAGGAAGAGTTGGAGAGCTGGTCCCCCGACAGTCCAAATCCATCCTTCTCTTCACTGGTCGCGGCTCCCTCCATGTTCCTTTCTAGAGAACCCGTTTCTTCCTGTAGCTCTGCTGCCTTGTTACTTGTAACTCCTGCTTTTACCTCATCTTTCTCGTCCTTATCTGCAGGTATCACCTTTGTCTGGAAGAAAAGCACAGGGAGATCATTTAGTAGTGCAATCAAAAGATTTTCTAGTTCAAGAACTTCCCTACAGCTTAATTGCAAAGTTTTAAGTTTTTGAGAAAATCCTTTTCACCTTCCTCTCTGCTGCTTCCACTCTGGGTGGAGGTTTGGGTTTTGGTGCCAAAGCAGGGGCTGACCGACGCTGGGGGAGGTAGAGATTGTTTTGCAGGTCACCCTTTTCGAATGCGGCGCTGAGTTGGCTCACAGTGGGACTGACGGCCTCGCCTGGCCCGACTGAAGCTGCAGTAGAGGAAATAGGAGGGGTGGGAACAGG